GCGGGGAGTCTGCCTCTCCCTCTGACTCTCCCCCTCTCATGCTCTCTCTCTATCACTATCTCTCTCAATAAATAAATAAAAATCTTAAAAAAAAAAATATGCTAGTCACTAGCCACATGTGGTGATTTAAATTTATTAATATTAATTAAAGTTAAATATTCAGTTCCTCACCAGCCGAGTAGGTGCGTCTATATAGTGACTACCATACTGGATAGCACAGCTATGTGACGTTGTTCCAGAGGGTTTTGTCGGACGGCACTGCTTTAGAGTGTGTGCTTTGGGTTGTTGGTTATGTTTTAGCATATAAAGTCAGTTACTAATATATACATAGAAGTAAAACCAAAGAATCATTTCCTTTAGAAAATAACTTCCATATTAAATTTTGTTATGGAATTTTATTTTATACTTTTCTGTTTGCTTTTTCACTTTTTTCTTTTTTCTTTTTCTTTCTTTCTTTCTTTCTTTTTTTTTTTTTTTTTTTTTTTAGCAGAAACAGTCCTGCTCCAGCTGTAACAGCAGCATCTGTGACCAACATACAGGCTACTGAAGTTTCTGTGCCACAAGTAAATTCCAGTGAAAGCTCAGGGGGTAAGGAGATGGGGTTGACAGGCTTGAGAATCCTTACACCGTATTTGGTGTTAGCCTTCATTTTGAAAGATGGCCTTATTGATTAAGTGGTTCGAATTCAGTTTTTTAATGCTATTGTATAATTATCAATGAAATAAAATAAAATTCAGAGACTGAAAGCTTTACTTGTAACTTTCTTTTGACAGGATTTATTGTAATTTTTATGTGTTCATGTACTTACCTACTTAGGTACATCGAGTGAAAGCATTCCTCAAACTGCCACACAACCAGCCATTTCACCACCACCAAAGCCTACGGTCTCCAGAGTTGTTTCTTCAACACGTCTGGTAAACCCACCACCTAGACCTTCAGGAAATGCAGCAACAAAAATACCTAATCCTATAGTAGGAGTCAAGAGGACATCCTCACCTCATAAAGAAGAGAGTCCTAAGAAAACCAAAACAGAAGAGGTATCTATATATTAGTTAGAATACCAGCCTGCCTATTTTAAAGTCCAGTAGAAGAAAATCTTTGTGAGCCAGAATTGAGAAGCAGCAAGGAAGAAAGCTTTTAGAAAAAGTTTAGGTAGTGCTTTAGGGCCATAGTCTCTCTCCACCCTTCTACTCTTCTCAGTGACTACCTCTTCCGTAAAGCTGTGCCTCATTTAAACTTAGCTTGTCTAGTCTATAATACAGTTTAGTATGTCATCCCAGTTTCTTATTCTCTCACAGCTGTATCTTTTATGGGTACTGATTCTTTGATAGCCCTTTTGGACACAGTTCTGTGATCCAAATGGAGTTTTGGAGTTTCTTACACTGTATTTGTTATTACAGGGCTACTGACTATGAGGTTTTCAAGGAACTCTTACTGAATAACTGGCCATAGTTGCAAAGTCAGATTAATTTTGAGACCTTGAATGATTACTTCCTCCAACCCTTCAGGAAATTTTCTAGCAATACTTTCACTTTTTATAGTGGCCAATTTACCTTGCCAAAGTCTCAGTTTTAGGGAAACCATTAAAAGTGTACATTGATTTTGGTGTGTGTTTTAAAATAAAAAACAGAAGTAAGTAGCCTTGTTACACAATTTCATTGCTCCCTGGAATCACTCTCATGTTGTTTTCCTGTTAGTGGAACAGTCATTGTTGCCCCAGAGATGACAGTCCAAAAACTCCAATTTCATTGTGTTTTTTGGTTGAAAATTTGTTACTTAGGAGTGTACTCATTTCACCAAAGTTTCTTGAGAAAAGGAAAAAAAAAATCTGGACTTTTCTCATGGGAGTGTTTTGATTCTGTAATAGTGAAATATTATTATCTCTAATTTGTAAGTGTTCTATTCCCCAGCTTATTCTGAAGCCTTTGGGTTTAGATTTTTTTGGATACGGTCACTATTAACTAAATATGAATAATTTGATGAATTTTGTTACTCTAATGATGCTGAATGAAGAATGATTATATCATATCATGCTTTATAACATGTGTTCTGAAAACCCGTCTGCGTAGTTATTTCTTAAGGCAATGATTTTCTGCCTTGCTTGTACATCAGAATTTTTCAGAGTGATTCCCCCCACCCCCAATAGAGATTTTACGGCCTCCTCCAGATACACTGAATCAGAGACTCCAGAAGTTAGGCCTGGGAATCTTTTTTTCAAACCCCCCAGTGCTGCACGACTCTGTTGTGCAGCAACCTAAAAATGTGCTGATTTTGGTGGAACTCCACATTGTGTCTATTGATACTTGTTTGGAGTTGGCAGAGCATTGCAGAATTCACATTTCTTTTTATCTCAGTAAGTATATGTAAGCATAACTGGAGATGCCTATTCATTCTGTTTACTTCTGTTAATGGTTTAATCCTTCCTTTTTTCCTTGCAATTTTTGTTTTGTTTTTTAATGTTTTCTCACAGTCTGGGTTTTGTTTATGGCGGCTTCATGGAGTTGACTAACAAAAAACAATTTTATGATATAGAAGAGACCTGAGGATCTTAGGTATCTTACAGGCTGATCTCATTTCCCAGAAGGAGGACCTTGAGTTTCAGTGGTTTTCCATTTATAAAGCTAATTAAAGTCAGAGTCAGGAATAGAACCCAGGCCTAAATCTCATGGTGCTAAAGGAGAAGATTGTTATGAATATCATCATTTTGGAGCTCTCCTAAACCGGATCTTTTATTCTCTGTTAATGAGTACTTGTTATTAGAAATTTTAACAAACCAGAAAGAAACACTGGTCTTAATTAATCATGCACTAACATGTGTATAGACAGGAGAGGGGTTCAGGGGTGGTCAGGAGGTATATTGCTGCTTAATTTGCATCATATGCGAAGGTGTAAAATAAAAATAGACAAATGTTTGCCCTGGATTTTATGCTTAAATGATGCTATATATCTATTTTTAAACTTTTTCTTATGGAAAATTTCAAACATGTACAAAATTATAATGAACAGTCCTGTTTGCATCACTTAGCTTCCGCAGTTAACAGCTCACGGCCAGCCTGCTTCATCTACACATCTACTTCCTTTCCCCTTGTTATGAAGCAAATCCCAGGCGTATCATTTCAGCCATAAATATTTCTGTGTGTATCTAAAGATAAAGATTTCTGAAAACACAACTATAGTATATTATCACCATATATGTGTGTGTGTATTTATATATATATGTGTGTGTGTGTATATCAGTATATTTACCAGTATTAGCAATAATTTCATATCCAGTCAGGTTTGATATTTGCCCTGTTACCATTACTGTTTTTGAAGTTTGTAACGTTTGCAGGATACAAATAAGGTCCTTATTAGAATTGGTTTATATTACTGTTAAATCTCTTCTACTCATAGAAACATGGTTTCTATGTCTTGTTATAAAGCTACATTTAAAATTATAATTTACCCTAGTAAATACAGCAGAGAAATTAGGGTTAAAATAGTTTTTCTTAAAGGGATGTTAATTGCAAGTCACTGCAGGAATGGGAAAGTACAGCCATCTTTGGCTTCTCTTTTGCTTTCTTTACCGAAAATGAGTTGTTTTTGAATATAATTATAATAAATTAAAAAATTAAGACTGGAAGAGAGCATTTCTCAAACCTCCAGTTCTTCAGGATGTTACTAAGTTTACTAAGCGGGGGGATTCTGTGGTTAATTGTTTGGGAAAGTCAAAGAGGTATTCTTTATAGAACTTCTCAGAACCTTTTATAAAAAGTGCTAATGTGTATGTGAATTTCCCAGAATGGGGGTCTATCGATAGGATTCCAAGTTTCTAATTTGTTTGATCAATGAACTCTTTTTTTCTCTTCCTTACAAAAAATATTTTATGAACTTAGTGGTTTTAGGAATGTGATTTAGGTGGTGTTGATCAACAGTAACAGCTTTCTTCATATTCTTTGTTTGGAAGATACTGAAGCCAAATTAAATATGTTACATTAAAAATTTTTTTTCAAATGAATGAGTGATCTACTTTAAGGCCATAGTTGATCTTACAGGTTAAATTATTTTATAATTTAAAAAATTTTTATCAATTAAAGCATTGATTGGCAAATAATCTAAATTTTTCATTTTAGAGAATAAAGCTTTTTTTTTCAAAAACAGGATGAAACAAGCGAAGATGCTAACTGTCTTGCTTTGAGTGGACATGATAAAACAGAAACAAAGGTATACTAATTTAGCCTTGGAATACATACACAATTAAGAGTACAGAAGATGTGATAGAAATGTCTCTAGAATATTGTACTGTCTTTTGTTCTATAGGTTTTAGGTTGTTCAGTATTGTTTTTAGAGAAGTGTTCGTCCCTTTTGAATGTTAATTTATAATGCTGAAAGTGAATTTCTCAAATGTTTGAGGTCCTACTAAATGCAAGGTAATCTGGGTGGACACTGAACGGAATAAAGTGATGAGTGAGGCATGTTGTGTGCCTTTAAAAGAACTTAAAATTAAGTAGAGAAGATAAGAGGTAGAAGCAACTAATTATATTATCACAGAAGATCAAAGTAATTGAGGCTGCTGGGGTGGTGAGGGGCAGGAGCAGTGGGATGTTATTTCTGACTGAAGAAACAGTAAGAGGCTTTGTAGAAAGACCATGTCGTATTTGACGTAGTCCTTGAAGGATATGTAGGATTTGGGGCAGTCCAAGATAAGAAGGTCATCTTACTCTTTGGGTGGGCGTATGGTATGTTTTGAGAATCAGTTTTTGGCAGAAGGTTCTGGCAAGAGCCTTCTGGGGTGCATGGGGCTTGAGATGAGGTAGATGAGATGAGAGAGAGTGGTTTAGCCAAACCGTATTAGAGTCCAAACATCATTTTTTCAAAAATTGAAATGTACTGAAGGCTTTTAACTTTTTCCTCTTATTTAAGGTAGAAAATTTGGAAATCCTCTTCCAAAATTATTCCCATAATCGACATTTGAGCAAGTATTCTTTTGGTGCCTATAGATTTTATTTGGGCATACATACCAGTGCCTTTGCTTTCAAATCTTTATTCACTCTGTAAACCAGGAAAAATTATTCCTGTGATTATATAATTTACAAAATATTAATAAGCTATCTTAAGGCTGTAACCCTATTTTATTCAACCAGTTCCCAGTTGTTAGCAGTTGTTTCTATTAAAAAAAGAAAGTTCTTTCTTACTATAGTATTGACTATAGGTAAATACCTGCCATCCATTTATATTTATTAGAATAAATTAATGAAAGAAGAGTTACTGAGGCAAATAGTATGCTTACTTTTAAAACTCGATGCATAACTCCCAGTTTGTGCTTCAGAAAGCCTGAACTTCCATTTCTGTTACCTGCATCCTGTTTACCCCATTCTGTTTCATAAGAGAAAATTGACATTTCATTGTTTTATTACTGTATATGTTTTATAGAAATTCAGGTTTTTACATATTTATTTTCATTTGTTTGTGTATACATGTAGTATTCTGTTTTGTGCACAGCTTTAAAAACGTTGAGAGCAGTGGCATGACATGGTTCTCCTGGTATTTTCTCATAATATTTATAATAGATCCCTGCATTGATTATTGAGGAGGGGAGGAGAAACCAAAAAAAAAAAAAAAAAAAGGAATGTTTTAGGGACTTTTTTTCTACTTTTAATCGAAGGTGTGGGAACAGCTTTTATTCTTTGGAAAAGGTAATTTTATTTAATAATATTAACTGGGTTTTGTTTTTTTCACATAGCTAGGGCTTACGTTTGTAGTGTGTTAATTATTGTCTGGGCAACATTTCGTAATGTGCCTGTGCGTGTCTTTAATTATTATTTGCTCCAAATGTCCAAGTTGGAAGTAGCTGGAAAGTCAGGAGATACTCTGACTATGCCCATAAATATGAAGTAGATAAATAGAAACGTATGTGTAGGTGACAAGGGCGAGGTGGCCTGCGGCCAGGCTCACTACATGATTTTGTGATGTGGTCCCATCTTTCTCTTGATCCTCCTGTCTTCCAAGTTGTCTTCTTTATTAGCCACCAAACCCAGTCATGTTCTTTTATTCTTTTTTTTAAGTCTCTTTCCTCCCCCGTCCTCTTTGTCTCACAGGAACAACTTGATACAGAGACAAGTACAACTCAATCAGAAACTATTCACACAGCGGCTTCTCTGTTGGCCTCTCAGGTACTAAGTGCAAAAAGCAAGGAGAGTTTGTAAATGTTGTTAAGATTAGTGTGGTGTAATGAATTAAAATGAGCATATACAAGAAGACTATTAAAATTCTCTCTGTAACAGTAGTTACTCGCTAGCCTATCAATGTGTATATTGTAGTTTAAAGGTAGAGCATCAGATTTGATAGAACCATTGTTTTGCACTGTCAAGATGCTAACTCATCCCCTTATATATTATTTGGTATTGCAAATTATTTAAATCCTTACTAGTCATAATATGCAGTATTCATATAAAGGTTTTCTCTACAGATCAAAGAGTGAGTGAATTTTAAATCATGACAGAACTAAAAAACATCTTTGTGGATCTTTTTGTGAGGTTAAAATGATTTTTTTCTTTTTAAAATGTGTTTGTCTCACATTTTACTTCTGATTTTCAATTGTTAATTTAATGTAACCCGTAATTCTCTCAAATTATTTTTCATTTGTCCTAGAAATTGTGCTAGTCCCTTCTTACATACAGTAGGCACCTAGAATCTTTTCTTTCTTTTTTTTTTTTTTTTAATACTGATTTGTGAACCCTTCATTTTTGTGAAACAATGATTTTCTTTTTGAACCCTTTCAAAAATTGAGTATACTTCGAAGTCTAGGTCATATTCTGACACAAAGTAAATATTTTCTTTAAGTAGATGTTGAACTGGTGACCCTCTGCAAGACCACTGAGATCATTGATGCTCACAGTGAGGCTGCTGAACTGAGGCAGTGATATTTTGCTGCTTTGTGGCTCAGAGTCATTTTAATGTGATAATTTTAAGATGTGTTTTTGCTAACTGTTAACCCTCATAGCCTCTAAAGAGAGAAATATCATGTTGAATTTCTGGAATGTCATTTATTCCAGAACTTATCTAATAAAAATTTGGGGTGGAGGAAGTAACTAAAGCAACATGAGGAAATGTGCTTGGCATTGATACACGGACAAAGTAGTCTGTCGGTCTTGAGCTCCTGTGATATGACTGCGTGTCTTTTGGCCTGCCACATTACTCTGGGGGACTGTTTTCTAGTTTTCTCTGTTATTAAGTTCATCCCTATGGTGATGAGTACTTGTGGGTATTTGCCTTTTTGTATTTTTATGGGGAGGTAGAACTTAATTTCTAATGTAAAGATTTGTAGAGCCACTGAGAGAAAAATCACCCAGTTAATAAAAAGAGTGATGATGTTGATTACCAAAAAAAAAAAAAAAAAAATCCCTATATTTGGAGATACAACAGGTATATTTCTTTCTGGGGAGATGATTATAATATTGTGGCTGTGTGTAATAAAGAATCCTTATTGTTTTGAGATAACTTGAGATACTTACAGACAAAATGGTAGCATCTCTGGGATTTGCTTCAGAGTAAGCTTGGGAGTGAAGGTGGGGGGACGGTGGATGGTTCTGGTTGGGCCGCTGGCGAAGCTCGGTAATGGCTACATGGGATTCATCATAGAATGTGCTCTACTTGTGTGGATGCTTGGAATTTCCCATAATAAAACATTTAAAAATTTCTCTCTCTGTTTTTGAATGTTAAAGAAGCCTTGTATTTAAACTTTTTTAACATGAAGTTTTCCTAAAATTTAGAATAACTAAATTATTGCTGAGTTGTATAGATTTAATTTTATAATATATAGGGGTCAGAAAATAATGTCCTGGTAACTGCCGCTCCTGTGTGTGTTCTCCCACACGGGGGCGCTCCAGCACCAGTTACCATCACAGCTGTTAGTGTTACTACAAGTAAATACAGTTTAACATGACTTTAGTAATTATATGACAGGTCATTCTTAGAGGAGTGTGTCTATGAAAGTTGTATTTTAAAATTACTTAGGAGTTTTCTGTGTATTGCTAAAACATTCATATTTTATTATTTGAAAATTACAAGTGTAGAACAGATAGTTTTATAGTAATAGTCATGTTTATTTGCACTTCATTCTTGTTTCTCTTTAAATTTTTAATACTTCTGTGGTAAGGTCCCATCCATTTCTTAGAAAGCAAAGCAGTGGAAAGTAAATCTCATTTTTAAGTTACAGTGCTTTGAACAATGTTGTGTTCTTTGCTTTCGTTCTCAGAAAACATCCAGTACAGACCTTTCTGATATCCCTGCTCTCCCTGCAAATCCTATTCCTGTTATCAAGAATTCAATAAAACTGAGATTGAATCGGTAAAAACAACCTCAGGGGTCCATAAACAATATCTGCCAACTCAACCTGTTGTCTTCAAATGCTAAAAAAGGAGAATGGAGGGTACAAGACTAGACATGACTGAAAATGGATTTAGGTTTTTTTTGTGACCTCCCTTACTGGGCTAATCAGCACTTGATCGGAAGTCCAGGTTAGTATGTGAAGCCAGGAGTACTATTATTATTGTGTTAGCAACAGTTGCATTAACTATTTCAAAAAATTACTGCCTTTAAAAAAAAAAAAAAAACCTCAAGCTATATTTGTATCCATAATTGACATCTGGATTGGGTTTACGTTTGATGCATTGTTTGGAAAATTTGCAATACAAACTGGCATAAGAATTCCTTGTTCGATGATGCACTTTTATGTATTTTTTTATTAGAAAGTAGAACTAATTTTAGATTTTCAGCTTGATGGATTTTCATTTTTTCCTGAAAAATTTCCTTTACCATTAGTCTTCAAATTGGATACCATTGTGCGGTGGCGTACTGTTCTACTTCAGAGAAAGGATGAGAGGACATCTAGTTCAGTCCCTGTGCGGTAGCTGCAACCCTTAAAAATGAAATGTCAACTCTAAGGGTATATATTTGACATTGAAAGAATAATTAGGAAATAGTTGGTTTTGATGGGGTCATGATTAAGAAATGATATATTGGTTTTATTTATAGAATTGTTTAGAATGCATACAAATCAGCGATCAGCCAGCAAATATTTTTCTTTGAGCTTATTAAAGCTCCATATTCTTTTGCCTTCAATCTGTTGTCTTTGAAACAAAGCTTTTTGCTCCCTCCCCCTTTTCTTTTTCCCTTTTTGCTTGTATGCATAAGGTAGAACTTAATTTCATAAGAAACAAAATGCCAGTATTTTCTTAAGCCATGATGTGAAACCAATGATCCTGTGGCCATGTGGCACAGAACACTAAATTTTGGCCCTGTGGCTGAAACTTTAGGGTGACTAAAAGAAAAATGCATGATGCCCTATCCGGGATGGCCATTTGATCTCTGGACATGCGGAATTTTGTACACTCCACAGAACTCCTCTCTGTAGTAAAGTTGATTTTCAATTTTAAACGTGAGCAAAAAGGCATTTTCTCCAAGAATTTTAAACTAATTTTTATTTTTAAATGGTTGACCAAAATTTGTCAGTAAATTTTACATGTAGAAACATTTTAAAAATCATTTCTAGCAAGCACTTGGCATCTAGTCAGCTCTCTACTCCTTTTTCATTTTGTTTTATCCGATCAATCGGTTAGGAACTCCTTTCTGCAAAGAAAAGAAGTCCTCATAATTAAGCAGCAGAGCATCCATCTTCACGAAGTATGAGGGGTGCCAGATGTTGATAAACTTAGTTATTCTTTCCTAATCTGGACAAAGCAGACCTAACAGATTTTCTGATGAGCATGTTTATGAATCTTTCATTGTGCTCCATTCTTATCACATGTGCATTTTTCATGTTAAACTGCAGTTACTTAAACTCTTCCCCTGTCCTTCTAAATTAATTTTCCAAAGTTGGAGTGTAGTCTTTCCCCTTAGGCTATGCATTAATTGAGGCTTTCTTTTCACCGTACCTTATGATGTCTAGTAGACAGTGTTTCCGCTTCCCACATCTTCGCTCCGCACACTCACCTTGCCCTTCCTCCCACCACCTAAGAAAAAAAGATGGTCATGCTAACAGGTGAAGTGTACAAGGTGTCTGTGTGTTTTGTGTAGCTTCAGAGTTAGATTGAAATTGCCAGGCACAGATTTAGTCTTGTCATTTTGTTTACACATTGGGGAAAAAAAAAATTCAGTTTATTAAACGTTTCATGTAACTGCACCCAAGTTTTGCCAAGCTGGAAACTTGGACCTTTTCTGTGTAGTGACTTTTTAATTCTAGTTTTCATAACCTGGAGATCAGACTGTTGCTTTCGCATGATGTATGTAGTGTCTCATGACTGGAGTTTGCTTTGTTTTATAGTATCTGTACTCCTTGTATTTTTCAAGAGCTATTTTGTAAACAGATGATGTATTTCTCCATTGAAAACACAATAAAAAAAAAAACAGCACAATCCCACAGTTGGCTGGTTTCTTTTGACTGACTTTATTTCTCTTGTTTTTTTCAGTGATAAATCGGTTCTACTTTTAAGTTTATGGTATGGCCATAAGTGAAGATTTGCAAAAGAATTTACTTTGCTTACATTTAGAAAAGATTTGCCTCTGGTTAATTTATGCTGTTAGTGGCAGCCTAGTATTAACTGATACCTTCCGTGATCACTATTTTTCATATAAATGATCATTTGGGAGGAAAACATGAATGTAGTTACTAATAATTCACTCTCAGCTGTCCCATTGTCTACAGTATTTATTTTGTGTATGTAGACTATATGCCTTTTCTGTATATTTGTTTCATGCACGTAGACAGTGTACTGCTGATTCGTTTCCTTTTCAAAGCTTTTGGTTTTCAATTATTTCTATGTCAGCAGGTGGCACTGTTGTTTTTCAGTGAGTTTAGGATTATAGACCACAAACCGGCTAGGATCTTCTCTTTCTCATTTTACCAAACCCAAATCAGATACTGCTTTTCTTAAACCGCCAGATGCTCAGCATTGCATACTAAACTCATGGGTTAGGAGGGAACTGCTTTGTATGTTTGTAATGGCCAGCTCCTGAGTATGGCTATCTTAAGTGCCTTGAGTGGAGGGATGGACCTCCTGATGTTAAAGTCATTATTCTAATGGACATGCAGTCTTGTGTATTTCGTTCCTGAAATTCCAAATTCTAATACCTTTATTATATATAAAACAATATATGACTGCAACATGGGATGACTTTTCATTAAGCTTTTGGGAGTATTAGGAAAAGGGAAGATACTGTACAAATTACCCTTTGCTCCATTGTTCACACCTACAGAGTTGAACTTGCGGGACTTCCTCTACCTCGATAGACACCTAAACATGGGACTGAATAGCCCACTTTCTGACTTTGATCACCCACATGGTCTTTTGGCTTTTCATGCATCTTGCTGAATTAGTAAAACAAGTAAAGGTGTGTTTTGTGGCTCTGGGTATATTCTGGAATAAAGTTTGTATTTTTCTAATTAACACTTCTGTTTTTTTTCTCCACACAGAAAAATGTTTTAGAGCTCTGCGTAGTATTAATTCTGGCTGCACTCAAGGTGGCAATAAGTGATCAGCAGCTCCAAGTAGTAATTGATGTATGAAAGGGTAAATCATTAACATACATAAGCTTGTAGACCAAGCCCTGGGAATGCTAACTGTTCATGCACTTAAATGCATTTAAGCAAAAAGAGAAACTGTTTATCTAAAAAGGCATTGAATAATCCTTTGGATATACTTTTGCCTATTTTAATTCTAATAAAAGAACAGCACAAGGAAAATTAGTTGCTTTTAGCCTGAATTGTATGTTTTGGTATTCTTTTTAATTCTCTGCTTTATTCCTTTACTGTTAGTTTTTTTTTTTTTTTTTCAAACCAGAATCACAAATGGATGCTGTCTTAAGAGCTGAACTTGTTGGTACATGAAATATTAAGTGTGTTCTCTAATAAACATGACTTTCAGTCATATAGCGACAAGTGGTCTGTTTAATTCCGTGTGGTGTTTGTTTTTTATATATGTGTAATCAATTTATTCATCCTTTCTCTATACTTACCAGTTTAAACATCCTTGTGACATCTTACGTAGCTTTATTGGCAGCAGGAAAGATAGCATCAGTATTTCTGAGCCATGTATTTTAGAAGTGGTTGCGTATACTTCATCCTAGAACTGATTTCATATACTTGGGAAGTCATTTCAACTTCTGCTTCTCTTCCTCAGAGACATACTTTGTCTCAGTGTTCTGCAAACATCATTGTAGCTGATCAGTGATCAATCATACATGGATTTTGCTGAACGGGATGGAATTTTAAGTGCATTTTTTTTCTTTCCTTATCTCCCAATTCACAGGCCTTTCCTCAAAAGGGTAGAATGAAGGCTGTGCTCAAGTTCACATTTCAGAAAGCTCAGGTTTGTGTGAAAGGTGGTGATTTCAGTTATTATGCTTTCTTCCTGCAATTACCTTTTTAAAAAATGATTCACATTTACAGATAGCTAAAAATCATATCTACAAAGGGCAGAGTATTGTTTAGATTTTATAGCTTAACCACCAACTGTTTAAAATGTTAACTTTGAAAGTATACTTTAAATAAGACAGTGCATTCACTTTCCTTCTGTTCTGGGTATCTTTAAATTGCACTGGTAGGATGGGAAATGGATCCTCTTTCGAAATGAAAAATAGAAGTAGTCTGTTGTGTGCTTTCATCAAAGCTTTATATTTTTTTGCTGTGATATTTCTAAGGTACAGGATAATCCCTTAAATCAAAAATAGTTTCCTCCTTGCCACCCAGCTTAGAGTTTTGTTTAGTATGTGTTGTTTGTTTTTTACTCGTGAGAATGGATTTATGCTACACCCTCAACCCTCCCTCTTCCTTAGGTGCCAGAATTGACCAGGGAAAGCCTAAGGGCATGTGGATTTTGATTTACAACATGGAATAAATGGTGAGGGTCTAGGAGCCCCCACAGCTGATTAAACCTGTGCTTGAACTTGCCACTGACAATCTTAGCAGCAGAGTTGCTTTTTTCCACCTGAGCACAGACCTCGCAGCCGTAAGACCAGTGACCTGAGACATACTACAGCAAAAATACATTATTTGGAACAGTGTAAGTTCAGTTACATACTATCATAGTCTTCAGTACATTTTATAAAATTTGCTTTACCTATAGTTGAATATTTTTCAAACCATTGCATCAGTGGATAGAAATATAAACAGAGGGAAAACCATTAAGTTTAAGTCTCAGGCTGAGTGTAATATAATTAATAGTGAAAATGATAAAGTATCACCTAGTGTGAGTCTCCTGCATCTCAATATTTGGAAGTATCCAGACTGTATACTCTGTTTTCACCTAACTTGGATGCTTTTAATTTCATATTAGGTGATTATGACCTGATTAAAAAAAAAAAAAAAAGGAAGCCCAAGTTTCTTAAAAAGACTGTAAGCCTTTTAGAAGTGTTTCATTTAATTAATTTGTAAGATGCTATTTTCTGATTCAACAGATTTCAATCTGAAAATATGTATTTTGAATAATTCAAGAATTTTAGTTTTATGGGTTTCTTACAGCTCCTTGCAGACAGTTCTCTCAGTCTTGTGTGTTTTCTAATAATGTATAGTCCTAAAATCGTTAAATTTTTTTTTTTTGGTATAATACAATTTTTGCTTTAAGAAAACTTATGGAAATGCAAAATAGCAGTTATTTCTGGGGAGTAAAATGATCTCGTGCCACTGCTGTTCCCCTCTGAATCCCCATATATACACACATATGTGGATATTTGGGTTCTTTTCAAATTTTAGGCATAAGAAAGTAGGTATATGTATTTTGCTGTAATAATGCAAAATGTCCCAACTTTGTGCTTGTTCCTTGTGGATGCTGTCTCTCTCTTGGCACAACACCCTCCTTACAAACTTTCACACTGTGTGGTGCCTGGTGCTATGTGATTTCCAGAAATCTGGCATGAGAATTGGTCCTTGTTTGCGTTTTCTGACTGCAGTGGAGCTGTTAATAAAGAGATTGATGATAAAGTTGTTGAAAAGAGACAGTTGGGCAGAACTGCTCTCCATGAGTGACAGAGGGCATGATCTGCCTTCACAGCCAAGAAAGCCACCCCCAGCAGAGAACCGACAGTGCCTGGACCCTGTGCCAAGACTAATAGAAGGAGCTTTACTGCACTATTAGACTACTACATCTCTTTAATTTAGACTTGCTTCCCATTCCCATTTTCATCCTTAAGTTCATGGAATGAATGCTCAGGACGTATTATTTGCAAATAGGACACACTTCCCAACTGTACAGTCATTATTTTTACAGATTCTTTTTTTTTTTTTAAAGATTTTATTTATTTATTTGAGAGAGAGAGAGAATGAGAGACAGAGAGCACACGAGAGGGGGGAGGGTCAGAGGGAGAAGCAGGCTCCCCGCCGAGCAGGGAGCCCGATGCGGGACTCGATCCAGGGACTCCAGGATCAGGACCTGAGCCGAAGGCAGTCGCTTAACCAACTGAGCCACCCAGGCGCCCCTATTTTTACAGATTCTTAAAAACACTCATAATTCATCCTAATTTGGTTCAGTAAAATTGTTTTATTTAGAAAATATGACTACAGTTTCTATAGAAAGCCTGTTTCTTCTAGACAGCAGCCTCAAAATCTTGAGTTAAGTTTGACAATCTCAAGAAGAAGCATTAGCTGTAGTAAGTATTGGTTTACGGGTTGTTAATGATTTTAGTCATAATTAATGTAATTTGTGTATTTTTCACCTATCACTGCTAGAAGCTTAGGCTGCTGTCATTCAGTTAAGCTGTTTTTTGTGTGGTCTCCTTGATGGTCCACCAGAATTTTTGACACTCTAATACTGATTTTAAAGATAGAGATTTTGCCTAAAATTTTTTTAACTCTCCTAGGTTATATGAGAATTATTTTATTCGTCAGATGTCTTTTAAGGAAACTACTATATCATTGTGGCCTTTGTCTTGTAAAGTGACCCAGATGTGGGCACTTCAGTTTCTTGACAATGAAAATTCTTGGAAATTTTGCAAGTATGATTTTTGCCATCTGCCAAAACTGTTGGGTGGATGGATATAACACACACACACACACATACACATCATGAGGTATTTTTTTTTAACTTTAAAAATATGTTCATAAGATCTCAAAGTTAGAAGGAACCTAATGAAACATCTAGTCCATTATTACCCATGACCGCCTCAGCCATTTCCATTGAGGGGGAGTCCAAATTTCATCATTTCCATTACTGGGCCCTATTTAAAATTGTAGATTGGGCTCAAGGTGGTTTCCTTGATTCCCGGTAGTAGTCTTACTGTTCCTTTTAGCAGCAAGTTCTGACCAGTCTGTACTTCCTTTAACAGGAAACCTTTAAAACAGATTGCTAAATTTTCACTGTTTTTTTTTCCCCCCCAAGTAAAATCATATGCTGGCAGATGTTTTATGGCCGGTGCAGTAAGACTGTGAA